CTAGCCGGGGACACAGCCAAGCAAGCGCTCCTGTGAGGGGAGCAGCCTCAGTGGGGCCTACCCCAGGATGGGCATGGGTTCTTGGTGGGAGTGGGAAGGAGGCAGGTACACCTAGGCATGAACACAGGGGAGAGGGAGCTAGAAGAGCCTGGAGAGAAGGCAAGTCACATGCTGCACCTTGCAGACCAGCTCAAGGATTCTAGGCATTTCCTAAGAGCCATGAGACACCAGTGGATAGTCAGTAAACCTCAAGAGCAGCCTGAGCAGGTGTGTGTGTGTGTGTGTGTGTGTGTGTGTGTGTGTGTGTGGTGTGTGTTTGAAGCTTACTCTAAGAATGCTGCAGAAAATGGGCTGTGAGGGGCAAAAGCGGGTAAGGGATGATCATTTAAGAAGTTCTTGCAATAATTCGGGCAAAAGTAGGTGGCATCTTGGGACTGGCATGGTAGAAGTGTAGATGAAAATGGTGGCAAATTAAACACACGTAGGAAGAGAACTCAACAAGACATGACACTTAACTGGATGTGAGTCAAGGTGAGTCCCAGGTCTGGCATCTGCATGTGGGATGAATGTTCCTGCCACTTATTGAGATGAGGGAGGGGGATGGAGGTGCAGGATTGAGTGGGATACACCCAAAGGGTGGCCTGTTGAGTCTGAGGTGCCTACAAGACAGTCAGCAGGGTTCTCCAAGGAACAGAAACGGAGGACTTTCAGAGACAGAAATCTGGTGGGGAAACAGCAGCCCAGGGCACATTCAGGAAGCACTGCCACAAAAGAAAGCAAGGCCAAGTGAAAACTGAAAGATTCAGCCTCAGACCCTGAGGGTAGGTACAGAGGACAGGGGAGCAAGACAGCTGGGCAGGAACATGAGGCAACCACTTGGACAGGAAGGAGTTTGATGAGCAGTTGCCAATGCAAGAATTGTATGGGGACACCAAGGAGGCACCCAGAGAATCCTAGCCCAGAAATCAATCTTCTAGGCAGCAGTTGGCTGCCCCTGACAAGACTCGCTTCCCTAAGATCACTGAAGATTTCACCGCTTTGGATCAGGCCGCTGAGGGCTTCTTAATGATGGCGTTGCTCCATTGCAAACATACACAACTGCAGCACTGGCCATGCTGAGACAGACACCTCCACAAAGAAATTCCCAAACCTACTGATCACACAAGGAAGGGAGAAAAAGAAAGGCTTCATGTCAAAGAGGAAGAAATACAACTGTGTGTGTGTCTGCTTTGCCTCCACACATGACCCTGGAGGCACTTACACATCTTCTGTCGAATTTGGCATTCTTATGAGAGATCCCCAAACAGAAGAATGTAAGGTCAAGTTTGACAATGATAAACAAAGAGATCTTAAAGGAGCCAGGCTTTGCAGTCATCAGAAGAGGGAATCTGGATCTTGCATTCAGACTTTTTGATGAAGATTTACATTAGAAACTGCACACTGTATGTTGAAGTGGCTGAGTTTCAAACTGACTGGGAAGGAAGGAAGTGCATGGACCACAGGAAGAAGCTACTTCACAACAGAAGCAGCTGAACTCGGGGCCACCCTGATGTGCCACAGTTGAGTTGTCATCAAAAAAATGTTTCATACTAGGGAGAGAATTGTTCATTGGTGCTAGATGAGGCTGGAGAAGACCTCCTAGGAAAGACTGGACCAATTTGGAGGCTCCTTCTCTTTGACTGACACTTTGATGGCTAACCTCTGTGTCCTGGAGGAATGCAAGAGCAGCTAATCACTGTAGTCAAAATTTTGATGGAAGGTAGTTTGGTGGCTATTATTCCCTGTCCAAGCAGGGGATGGGATGACAGATGACCCCAGGGAGGAGACTCCAAGGCTGAGAAGATGGGAGACTTCCTTCAGTCTCCCTGAGGCAAACAGAGGTATTCAGTGCTCCAAGTTCATCTTTGCTCCAGAAAGAGCATCTTTCTTCTAAAGTAAGGCATCTTTTGGTGCGCCCTAGCACATCCGGGATGAATGTTCAGGAAGCTGCAACAAAAATCGCATTTGAAGAACCTATATATGAAAAGATGCCTGAAGCCGGGCTCGGTGACTCGGCCTGTAATCCTGCGCCTTGGGAGGCTGAGGTGAGTGGATTGCCTGAGCCCGCGGGTTCGAGACCTGCCTGGGCAACTTGGTGAGACCTCATCTCTACAATAAATGCAAAAAAAAATTAGCTGGGTGTGGTAGCGTGCACCTGTAGTTCCAGTTACTTGGAAGGCTGAGGCAGAAGGATCGCCAGAGACCAGCAGGTAGAGGTTGCGGTGGCCGGGAGAGGCCACTGCACTCCAGTCTGGGCAACAGAGTGAGACTCCAACTCAAAAAAAAAAAAAGAAAAGAAAAGAAAAGAAAAGATGCTTGAAAAACAGAAGATGCGGAAGATTTTGAAGAAGATACTTCTGAAAATGTTGCTAAAGAAAGTGGCCACTCAAAAAAAGCCCAAGAAGGCTATTCCAAGAGTCTGAAGAGAATTTCCCCGAAAGAGGTGATGAAGAGAAGAACCATTTCAAAGAATGGAGAGGCCGGATTCGGTGGCTCAACCTGTAATCCCAGCACTTTGGGAGGCCGAAGTGAGTGGATTGCCTGAGCCCGTGGGTTCGAGATCTGCCTGGGCAATTTGGCGAGACCTCATCTCTACAATAAATTTTAAAAATTAGCTGGGCGTGGTAGTGCGCGCCTGTAGTTCCAGTTACTTGGAAGGCTGAGGCAGAAGGATCGCCGAAGCCCAGCAGGTCAAGGCTGCAGTGGCCAGGAGTGGCCACTGCACTCCAATCTGGGCGACAGAGTGAGACGCCAACTAAAAAAAAAAGAAAAAAAAAAAAAAGAACGGATTTGTCTCAGAGAGAGAATCTGAAGACTGCTCTAAAAACAGCTTGAAGGTGGCTCCAAAAATTAACTAGAAAAAAATGGCCTCAAAAACAAGTGAAGAAAATGGTTCTAAAAATCAGAATTTGAAAATGATGGCTCTAAGCAAGTGTTTGGTAAGGAAGGCTTGGAAGAGAGCATGAAGATTTGGAAGAAAGGAAAGAAAAAGATATGTATAAAAAGTATTTGGTGGTTAGTCAGATGGAAAAGGCTTGAAGATGCTGAGGAAGAGGAGGAGGAAGGTGGTGCAGGTGAAAGAAAAAGAAGATGCAACATGGTTCAGAGCTGCCGACTCCAATAGAAAGTTGCTTGACAAAGAGGATTCTGGTGAGAAGTGGTTTGCCCAGTTTGATGAAAGGAGGACTGTGGGTGGTGATGGAGTGTTAAGGAAGAGGAGTTTCTGAGCACAGGCAGTAGGTCTGTCCTCAGAAGTGAAGACCATGAGGAAAAGGAGGATATTTAATCCCTTTAACTTGCTTTTAGGGAGGTTCTTCCACCTACACAAGCACATGCTTCAGGGTACTTATCGGCAGTATTACATGTACACAGTGCTGAAATGCCATCAGACTAAAACTTTGAAATCTTCATTGTAATAAACAGGTGATGATTTTTAAATACAGTCATGTATTGCTTAATGACAGAGATGCCTTTTGAGAAACATATCATTAGGTGATTTTTGTCACTGTGTGAACACAAGCCTACATGGTGTAGACTACTACAAACCCAGGCTAGATGGTATGGCCTGTTGCTCCTAGGTTACACACCTATACAGCATGTTACTGTACTGAATACTGTGGGCAACTGTAACACAATGGGAAGTATTTGTGTATCTCAACATATCTAGACATAGAAAAAGTACAGTAAAAATGTGATGTCATAATCTTATGGGACTACTATTCTGTAAGTTGTCCACTGTTGCCTGAAATGTTTGTATATGGTATATGATTGTATGAGGGGGACCCCCCCAAAATCCAGAACTACCCTTTAGAGGACAGGCCCCTTATAATACAGGCTCCCTTTGCTAGGTAACTGTTCTAGGAACCTATCAGCATCAGTGTACCAGTTAGCGTTGTTGTGAGAGGGTGTGCTTGGCTTTTTGTTGTTGTTGTTGTTGTTGAGATTCTTTCAATGCATTTGCCCATTTCATGATGGGTGATTTATGAACACTTCTTCCCATCTGGTACTGAATGTTCAGCAGTTTTTGACCCAAAATGGCAAGACCCCCATGACCTATCCTCCCTATTCATCCGATCTTGCCCCAAGTGACTCTTTTTTGTTTCCCTGAATGAAAAAAAGTCCTTATATGAAAATGTCTTGCCTGTGGAAGAGGTGAAACAAAAAATGACAGAAGCACTAAAAGGCATCAACATTGACTAGTTCAAAAACTGTTTTGAACAGTGGAAAAAGTGTCTTGATGGGTGTATTGCATCAAACAGAGGGTACTTTGAAGGTGACTGAAGTTTAACCATGTAAGAATAAATATACAAATTTTTTTTTTGAGTTGGAGTCTCACTTGGTCACCCAGAGTGGAGTGCAGTGGCCACTCCCAGCCACTGCAGCCTCGCCTGCTGGGCTCCGGCGATCCTTCCGCCTCAGCCTTTCGAGTAGCCAGAATTACAGGCATGCGCTGCCACACCTGGCTGATTTTTTGATTTATTGTAGAGATGAGGTCTCGCTGCCCAGTCGGGTCTCGAACCCGCAGGCTCAGGCAATCCACTCACCTCAGCCTCCCAAAGGCACGGGATTACAGGCTGAGCCACTGAGCCCGGCTACACAATTTTTTTAATAGATTAATTTTGGGGTTTTGGTGCCCCCATATATGTTAACTGACTGTTCAATTAAAACTTCATAGTCAAAATGCAAGTAAAAATAAAAGAAAATGGAAGAAATCAGTCCAAACATAGCACTAAAACAATAGCTATAAAACTTTCCTGTGAGAAAATAGAAACTCTCAAGTTGTGTCATAAAATAAATCCCAAAAAAAAGACTAACAAATCCAGCCCCATGCCCAGAGAATAATCTGAAAATAAAATTACCATAAAGGTTACATATAGGAAGATGGAAAGATGTTAGACAAATAGTCAAGAAGAGAACCAGAAATCAGCATAACAAGCTGGTTATTGAAATATTCGATCTGGTAGTATAAAAGTCTGAAGACACTCTTTAATGCACTTCATCAAATATTTCCAGTTCGCTTTCTTGTAATTTTATTTCATGACACCACCTTCTCTTTGCATGTGCTTGGGTCTCCTAGTATGTTGTTCACATGATGCACACATGGCACAGTTATTGCCCAAAGTACCAAGAGGGCATGCAGGGAATGGGCTCCTCCTCCCAGACAGTCTTCAGCCTCTGAGCCCATGAAGCCACCATGCCCTTTCTTTCTTCTTCAGATACAAATTCAGGAGCAAAGCTCAGCTGAGGGGCAAGGACTTTAAATCCACAGAAGTGCAACGTACCATGCTAAAGGCATAAGCAAAGAAAAGAACTGATTAGAAACTACACCTTTTTCATACCACTCAGTAAAGTGATTAAAGGGGGGAAATGGGATAAAACAAACCAAAAATCATAAAACAACATTAATGCTACAAGGTAACTGACAACAACTGAACTTCCTTATAACCTTAGCATGAGGGGCTTCCTAAGTGAGGTGAAGAACTTGGGGCAGCTGGAATTTCCAAATTCTATTCTTTTTGTTTGTTTGTTTGTTTGTTTGTTTGTTTGAGTTGGAGTCTCACTCTGTCGCCCAGGCTGGAGTGCAGTGGCCGCTCCCGGCCACCGCAGCCTCGACCTGCTGGGCTCCGGCGATCCTTCTGCCTCAGCCTTCTGAGTAGCCGGAATTACAGGCATGCGCTACCACACCCGGCTGATTTTTTGATTTATTGTAGAGATGAGGTCTCGCTGCCCAGGCGGGTCTCGAACCTGTGGGCTCAGGCAATCCACTCACCTCAGCCTCCCAAAGGCACGGGATTACAGGCTGAGCCACCGAGCCTGGCTTCCAAATTCTATTCTTATAATTGAGAGTAACCTGCAGTCTCTGCTACCGACTGACACACTAAACATTATAGTTTTGATTGATAAGGCAAATTATGGTACATTGATACTATGAATTACTCTAGAATGAGGTAATTCTAGCCATAATGTGCTTCCATGGAAGGTTGGTCAAGATATTTGCTAAATGAAAATCATTTTTAAGCAGCAATTATGGTATACAAACAGTAATAAAACATAATAAACCTAACAATGAAATTATGTATATAAGAATATATACGAACCATTAAAAAATCAAACCATAAAAGTGATTATTTCTAAGGTGGGAGGATGAAGGGTATTGACTTTCTCTTTGTATATCTCATATTGTCTGATTTTTTGCTATAAAATATACTTTTGTAAACTGAAAAAAAGCAAAGATTTTAAAAAGCAAGTCGAATTTAAGCTTGGCTGACACGTTAGTGAACATTTGGGGAAGGAAGTTCAGGTTTCTCAGTGATCATTTTCTCCAGTATCACTGACTGAAATCACATACTGTCTCCTTTCAGAGAGGGCCACATTCTAGAAATGTCACACTTAACCCTCTGCATTACATCCTTTAAAACCCATACCCTTACCCAGGCTCACCCTGGCAGGCAGAGACTTCTGAGAGCCCCACATACCACCTTTTACATTTTTTTCTCCTCAGATAATGACTTTATTACTGGAAACCAGCTTTAAAAAAAAAACCACCTATGATCAGTAGGTTTTTTTTTTTTTTTACACGTACCTGTGTACATGTATATATGCATGTGCTTGTGTGCATGTGCTTGTGTGGATGTGTGCATGTGTGCATGTACATGTGCAGTGGGCCAATAAGCAAGTCTGTGCAGCTTGTCTACCTGGAGCGGCCACAGGAAGTATCGAAAGTCTCCACTGACTCCTGCTTTTGTGTACAGCTCAGCCGTGCCTCCTGTGGTTACTGAGAGAAGAGCTAATTTATCCTGCAGGGGAGAAAGCAAAGGCATGAGCATGGAATCCAGAAAGGATGGAAACAATATATTGTGACTCTAGCATAAAGGCTCATGAAGGCCAGCAGGGAAAATGTGAAGTTAGTATCCTCCCAGGAGGGACAAATGTAACACTTCTGTTTCCAACAAGCCTACCTACAGGTGACAACATCCCAACAGAAGAGGGGACAGAACTGCCAAAGCAAAAGGACCAAGCACACATTAAAGCTCAAACATGACCAGATTTCTGGTGGAAACTAGGTTTTAGACACTGTGTATGAATAGGAATAGCTGTGCTGACCATAAGACTGAGGAGGGATGACAGTGCCAAGCACACAGGACCACAAGGACAGTCTTGGAATCATCCATGGTCCCAGACAGGTCTTGTTTACTCAGTACAATTTCCTCATATACACTTATTTATTTTCTGGGTTTAGAACTTAGAAAATCATTTCTTTCAGGAAAACATCCATAGCTACTATAGTTCTAGGAACTTCTCACCCTGTCATGGGGGTCTCATGTTATCTTGTGTCACATGTGGGTATGTGACACTCAGGGATGACCTCCTGCAAGGCCACGGCTGGCCCCTGCGACACAGAGGAGATGCCCTCTCTGGGGCCAGGGCTGGCTGCCGTGTTACCTACATCAAGTAGCCCATGTCTACCCTTGGTGACCCTGGCCCACTCCCTTCTTTGCCATATGTCTATTTAGTTGTAGATGTGTCTGTAGTCCCCACTAGACAAAGAGCTCTGTGACTTCAGAAACAATGCTTTGCTCACCCATGTGCAGCACATGGTGCTGTGTATCTAGTAGGTTCTCTTTTATTTTATTTTTTTTTTTTTTTGAGTTGGAGTCTCACTCTGTCGCCCAGACTGGTGTGCAGGGGCCGAGACCCACTGGGCTCTGGTGATCCTTCCGCCTCAACTTTCCGAGTAACCAGAATTACAGGCACATGCTACCATGCCCAGCTGATTTTTTGATTTACTGTAGAGATGAGGTCTTGCCAAGTTGCCGTGGGTCTCGAACCCACAGGCTCAGGCAATCCACTCACCTCAGCCTCCCAAAGCGTGGGATTACAGGCCGAGCTACCGAGCCTGGCTACCTAGTAGGTTCTCAATCAATGGTTGCTAAAAAAAGAAAAACAAACTAAAAATATAACTTAATAGATGCCCCCCGTATCCCCACTCCAACAATCCACAGCAATCCTACGCCCAGAGTACATACCTTGAGAAAACCGGAGTTGTAGAAGAATTCGGGGATGTCGAAGGCAAAACCTTGGCACAGCACCCTGTCCATCCAGCCTTTCAGGATGGCCGGCACACTGAACCAGTACAGCGGGAACTGTGGGCACAACATGAGGGGAAACCAATGCTGCAGCTGTCTAGGGTTCCATATTTTAGTCTGGCTGGTGATTTTGTACAAAGTCTGCTGCCCTCTCTTCCTGGGCCGCTGGGCAGGTGAGGGTAACGTGAGAGGCACAGTATGGACGTGGGGAAGGCAGAGTTGATGATGGTGCTGGTCACTGTTACAAGTAGCTCTGCATTCTCCAGTGACAGCCCTGATGCTGGTCCCCAGGTAGGCAGTGGGGGTGAGGGGCTCTGGCTTAGGGCAGCAGTCTCTGTGACTAAGTCAGTCAAGAGGAAGGCTATGGTAAGGAGTGTGCCCATTCCCATGCCTAGGGTGTGAGTCATTACATCTGGGAGTTAAGCACAAACTAAAGTCTTCTTCTTGGATTCCATATACCAGCAGTAAGATCTCCCTAAGTCCATTCTGGTTCCCATAGAAGCCCTAACACTATACTTCCTGACACCATCTGGGAAGGGAAATAAACATAGGCAAGCATCTGTTACCAGAAGTGGAAGCCAATGTTTAATGTGCTTTCAGTAAAAATCTCAGGATCTGGTACCGAAATCCAAGGTCTATAACCTACTGCTATGTGACATTGGCAAGTTACTTGACCTGTCAGTGCCTCCTTTTCCTGATTTGTTAAACAGGGATACTAATAGTTCCCAGTACACAGCATCATGGTAAGGGTCCAACGATACACTACAGTGCCTGGAGCAGAATAAATGCTCAGTGAGTGGTGAGCTCAGTAGTGCAGTAGATGAAATTTGTATTAGTGTTGAAAAAAAAAAATTAACATGCAGACCCTCTGGGAAAAGGATGAGGAGAGAGGGATGATGGGGGAAGCAGAGCTGTGAAAGAGAGTAGAACAACAAATGATTACAGAAAGGGCAGGCCTCGGCTTACCCCAGCCTCCCATTTATGCAGGTGGAGCAGGTGAGGAAGAAGTGGGCTCCCCAGTCTGCCAGCCTCGGGGGACCAAGGAGAAGAGTGAAAGAACGGAGCATGGGCTCAGCTGGGACCATGTACTCAGTCTTCTGGGGAGAGTCCTATACTGGCCTGGTCCTGGCATGAATACTAAGGTCTGGGCTATGAACTGGAGGGTCACCTGGGTCTAAGGCACTGAGTGCCCTCATGTGTAATTAGGATAAAGAATGCCCTGCACTTGGGCCAAGTTAGCAGCTCAAGGTCGCTGGTGTCAGAAAGGAGTGTGTGGACCAGGTCACTTTTATGAAGGGTTTGGGAGTCCTGACACCTGGACATGTGGTTTTGTCTGGAAAGTGGTCAAGTGCCCCTCACCCCTGCCTTGTACCCATATGGTGGACACATGAGAATGGTGGCCTCATTCTTCTGCCCACTTTCTACTCCCAAGCAAGGTTGGAAAACAGAGCTGATCACATTTCTTACTTGGAAATGCTGGCCCAGTCGTGGGGAGAAGCAGATGGGAATCCAGGGAAGAGAGGAGAGCTGCTCCAATCTCTAGGGCTATTGTTCCCAAATCCCAGTCACAGATCTGTCCTTGGGGCCCAAATGACCAGAGCACTCCCTCCCTCTTTCATTATTTCAGTCAGGGTTTCAGTCTGTCACACAGGCTAAAGTGCATTGACATGATCACGGGTCACTGCACCCTTGACCTTCTGGGCTCAGATAATCCTCCTGAATAGCTGGGACTACAGGTGCATGCTACCATACCCAGTTAATTGTTTTTATTTTTGTAGAGACAAGGTCTTGCTATGTTGCCTAGGCTGTACTCGAACTCCTAGGCTCAAACAATCCTCCAGCCTCAGCCTCCCAAAGTAATGGTTAGGTCTGAGTCACCACGTCCAGCCCCCTTTTTTTTCTACTTTGACTTGAAATTCTGTCAACCCAACAATTCCCTCAAGTCTTCCGAGTTTTCTTTGCTGTCAGGTTTATGGTCACATCCATGACTGCATATCCACTTTGTGGTGTCAGGAAGCAGTTTAATGAGTTCTCACTTCTAGAGGCTGTCATGTGGGACCTGTTCTCTCTGCAGTGGCATTACCTCCTTGTGAACAATACATGGAAGGTGGAGAGGGTTGGGAGGTGAGGCAATCCTTGATAGGATGAAAACCAAAGATTTTCCTCCTAATGATCAGGATACTTAAGGCAGGTATTTCATTTGGCCTGAATTACCCTGATAAACACTTACATAGAGAAATCTGGCTCTCAAAAGGCCCCAGCATGTCTGGGCAGGGTGGGGGTGGAGGGGTGGGGAGGAGAATGGAAGCAACAGAACTGGCAGGATTCCAATGTTTCTTGGACCATTAGGCTACGAATAAAGTCCTTCATTTTTGTTTCTGTGTGGGTCAGGGATATTGTCTACATGGGTCTCTTTACCTAACTAAGTAAAGTGTTGAAATAGTGTTGTAAGTAAATGTTGTGACTAAGTTTTGTAACTGAGTGTTGTAACTAAGTGTGCAAATGAGCCAAAAATATTGATTCCACTTCTGCGAGGAGCACAAAACTCAATATCAGAAAGAGTTTGTAGCTAGAATGAATCTAATACTAATTAGAGAAAAAACAAACCTGAAATATCACTAGATCAGCCTCCCGAACTTTTTTCTGCTCATCAATGATGTCACTAGCCAGAGACTTCTTCTTGTAGGCTTCATAAGTTTCCACTCCATAATTGAAGACCTCGGGATTAGAGAGATCACCTGGAGAGGAAGAGACCAAATATTCTCACTCCCAGGTGGCCATTCGTGGCCCATCCCAGTTATCTCACTAGCAGTGTGTATATCTGGACTCCTCAAAGTCCATCAGAGATATTCGTTGCACCTCGACCAGAATCTAGGCTCTGGAGCCAGGTAGGAAAAGAGAAAGCGCCTGGGAGGGCCAGTGATTAACCCTTTGCACTCAATGTCCTCTCAAGGGGACACAAAGAGATTGCTGGTGATTATGCAGGACAAATTTATACGAGCGCTAATTTTTCAAAAAAGTATATTTCCTTCAAGTTTTCCACTCAGGTTGCACAAAAAAGAAAATAAAGAGATGGAGTATACACTGAGATTTACATTAAAAAAATCAGCAGGTATTATGTAGAAATGTCTGAAGTGCTTTCACAGTGGCGCTGACAGTCTTTGTAACAGAAGGTAGCGATGAAGAGTATTTGTAAAAGAAAGGCAGCTGTGGGTATTCCCCTTGTATCATTTGGCATAACTTGAAAAGATAAGACAAGCAAGTTACTGTAGTCTTAAAAGAAAGAGACCTTCAAAGTTGAAGGTAGATCATGAAGTACTGAGAGGTACAGATTGAATATATCTATCTGTACTAAGCCAGAAAAGTAAAATTCTTTTGATAAATTTCATTTGTGATTTTGTAATTTACAATTAGAAATTTTTATTCACTTATTTAGTTTGCAGAGCAATAACAAAATGAAAAGACAAACGTGAGAGTTATAATATAAACAGCAGCGAAGATGACTTAGATTTCAACTTTTATACAGATAAGTTAGAAAAAAATAAATACTGATGTGGAAGAAAACAATAGTAGCAACAGTGATATCATCCCACCAAGAAGAAAACGGGCAAATGTGATAGAAAGGGTTAGTGATGAAAGTGTTAGTAGTTTCGAAGAAATAGAAGAAACATATCATCAAGTGAAGAATGGGAAGATGTAACAGAAACAATGATGCTCCAATGAGAATAAATTTTGTTGTACCTCCTCAAATAACAGGACCACAAAATAGCAAGTAATATAAGAGAACCAATGGACTATTTTACTCTGTATTTTACAAATGAATTAGTGGACAGTGTAATAAAAGAAACCAATCAGCCGGGCTCGGTGGCTCAGCCCCCGCTTTGGGAGGCCGAGATGAGTGGATTGCCTGAGCCCGCAGGTTCGAGACCCACCTGGGCAACTTGGCGAGACCTCATCTCTACAATAAATCAAAAAATTAGCTGGGCATGGTAGCGTGCGCCTGTAGTTCCAGCTACTTGGAAGGCTGAGGCGGAAGGATCGCCAGAGCCCAACAGGTCGAGGCTGCGGTGGCCAGGAGCGGCCACTGCACTCCAGTCTGAGCGACTGAGTGAGACTCCAACTCAAAAAAAAAAAAAGAAACCAATCATTATGTGGATGAAAAAATAACGAAAAACCAGTTCTCACACAAATCGATTTGGCATAAGTGGCATGATGTTGACTGACAGGAATTTTTAGCTTTTATTGCAGTTATCCTAAATATGAGAACCATTTCAAACCAGATCAGGTAATTTGTGTTGACAATCTGTTTTTCAACTTAAAGGGCTAATATCATTTATAATATACAATCCAAATAAGTCTACCAAATGTGCGAGCTGATTCAATCACAGGGTGTCTCTTTGCAATACTTCCCTACTATGGCAGCATAACATCCGAAAACATCATTCGATCTGATTTTCCAGTAAGCACCAGAATTTCATTACCTTTATATAAAAAGTTGTTAGAAAAAGTTCCCAATGCAGCAGGATACCATATGTTTACTGACAGATATTACACTAGTATTGTCCTAGCAGAAGAGCTACTAAAGATGAAATGTCATCTTATTGGTATAAAGTCAACCAAAATAAAATACTAGCACAAATAAAAAAGCCTAAGTTTTTAACAACAACAAAAAATAATGGCATATAGGAAAAATAATCTTAGGCTTCTTGTGTAGAAGGACTTGGAATCATGCAGGAATGAAATCTATCACAAGGACGTTATGTGTTAGAAATATTGTATCAGTCAAAAAGCCTTAAATGATTCTAAATTATACTGCAAATATGAGCTGTGTGGACAGTGTAGATCAATATGCTTTTACTAATTGTTTTTTGCAAAAATCTTTAAAATGGTAAAGGAAATTATCCTTCTGGGGACTAGAAATGTATATTAATTCCTATATACTATACTGGGCATCTAAATAAATAAATAAATGAAAACCATGAAAAACATGTTCAATTTGAAATCTGTCAAGCTTCTGATTGATCAGCTGAGAAGGGGTTTACAGGAATCACAAGTGCATCTTTCCACATTGTCCTTGAACAACAAAACGGACAATAAATTACATATTATTAATGGGGGAGGACAAAACGAGACTGCATTGTCTGTTCAAATAGAAAAACACCAGCTGGAAGACATCAAACAAATTACTACCGTACAACATGTTTCAATGAACCAGCAATGCATGCTGGTGATTGTTTCACATGTTACCCCATATTAGAAAAATATAAGATATGAAATTTTAATTTTTTTGTCATAAATAAGTTCAATGTCCAAAATTACATTAAATATTAGTGCAATTAATATTATACTAATAAATATTAGTGTAATATTAGTGTGATATTCGTGTAAGCCAAATATTACACTAAACAACTGGCTCCAATGCTATACTATTTAAGATGATGTGATTCATTTTTCACTATTCTGTAAAAACAATGCAGTCGAGTTGCTGGTTGGTGATCTGTGAGATGTATTCAAGTGCAAAGGGTTAAGGGCTTCCTGACTAGATGTTGTGCTCTACACATATCATCATTCTTTACTATAGTCAATGAGATGCGTGAAGTTACCAATCTACCAGAAAATAAACTGAGACCTAAGAGAGGCTAGATGGCTTGTTTAGTGCCACGCAGATCCTAAATGACAGAGGTGGACAGAAGCAAAATGACAAAGAAAAAACTAAAACAAGCAAACAAACAAACTAAAAGCTAAAATAACTCTACACTTTAATTCCATTTCCCTCACATTTTGACTTCTGTTGTCTCAGTTTACAAATTTGTATATTGCCTATCTCTTAACAGGTCACTAGAGTGACTATTGTTTTTGATAGACTTGTCTTTTAGACTTCATACTAGAGTTATGAGTGGACTGCATAACACCATTACACTAACAGTATTAAAGTATTCTGGGTTTGTCTGTGCACTTACTTTTACCAATGGGTTTTGGACCTTCAAATGTTGTTGGTTTTGGTTGTTTGTTTTGTTTTGTTTTGTTTTTGCACATTTGTGTGTTTTTTTTTTCAGATTGAAGAACTCTTTAGCATTTCTCATAAGATGGGTCTGGTTTTGGTGAATTCTCTTACCTTGTGTTTGTTTGAGAAAGTATCATAGCTGAAAGATAGATTTGCTGAACATAGTATTCTTGGTTTGAAGTTTTTGTTTTTTTCTTTTCTAACAGCAATTTGGACCATATGGTTTCTGTTGAGAAGTCTGTTGCCAGACAAACTGGAACTCTGTCGTATGTTATTTACTCTTGGGATTCTCTTTTTGTCCATGACCTTTGAGAGTTTGTTTATTACATGCCTTGAGGTAGTCTTATTTGGGTCAAATCTGTTCTATGACCTTCTTGTACCCAAATGTTTATCTCTTTCTGTTATTATTTATTTGAATAAGCTTTCTACCTTGCTCTTGTTCAACTCCCTCTTAGACACCAATAATTATTAGATTTGGTCTCTTGAGGTAATTTTCTATATCTTGTAGGTGACCTTCATTCCTTTTTATTCTTTTTTCCCCCTCTGTGTATTTTCATAACCTATCTTTAAGCTCACTCATTTTTTCTTCTGCTTGATTCATTCTGCCATTAAGAGTCTCTAATGGATGTTTCAGCTCAGCAAATGCATTTCTTAGTTCAAAGATTTATTGATTTTTTAAAAATTTCGATCTCTTTGTTAAATTTCTTTGACAAATTTCTGAATTGCTTTTCTGTGTTTTCTTGGAGAATTTCCTTAAAAGGGCTATTCGAATTCTTGTCAGCGGGGCTCGGTGGTTCAGCCTGTAATCCCGTGCCTTGGGAGGCTGAGGTGAGTGGATTGCCTGAGCCCGCGGGTTTGAGACCTGCCTTGGGCAACTTGACGAGACCTCATCTCTACAATAAATCAAAAATTAGCCAGGTGTGGTAGCGCATGCCTGTAGTTCCAGCTACTTGGAAGGCTGAAGCAGAAGGATCGCTGGAGCCCAGCAGGTCGAGGTTGCAGTGGCCGGGAGTGTGCCACTGCACTTCAGTCTGGGCAACAGAGTGAGACTCCAACTCAAAAAAAAAAAAAAAAAAGAATTCTTGGTCAGAGAGCTCACGTATAGCTATCTCATTAGGATCAGTCACTGGTTCTTTGCTTTGCTTTGTCTGTTTGGGGAAGTCATGGATCCCTGTTTGCTGTTGTTTCTTGTGGACATATATATATTTGCATTAAAGGATTAGTTATTTATTTTGTTTTGTTTTTTTATTAGGTATGCTTAGAGATTCTTTATAATTTACCTGTTAAATTTTTTCTTTCTCTCCACTAGGTCATCATCTCCTTTTTAGCACTGAATAGTATCTTAAGCCCAGGTTTGCCATGGCTCTAGTAAATGATCAGAGCACTGTCCATCCTGAATGGGGAAGGTCCCAAAGGGGATATCCTGGCAGCATGGGAAAGCTGGGTTCATGCCCATGGGACCTGTGAAACATACATTTTACAGCATGGTGCTGCTGAGCAGCCATCTTTTCTAGTATCTCCTTTGGCTGAGGTACAGAGCAGAGCTTCCAGGGCTGAGGATGATAGTCTCATCACCCACCGTTGTCTCTGGCTGTCCTCAGGGATATATCTTTTAGGCACTCCTAGTGCTTCCTGTTGGCTGAAGAAGGAACAGGTCTCCTGCCAAGGAACCCAAGATAATGGGAAGCTCGTTGTCCACCTTGAACTCACTTTTTCCTGTGTAGAAACTGTGAGATAGGGGGAAATTTCCCATACACTTAAACTGAGCAGACTGGGGAAAGGGGGGTTGTGGATATGAAAGCTCAATTCTCTTATCATCTTCTTGGAGTTTTTTCACTTCTGTGTGGCCCTAGGAACTAGTTCATCCTCCGATTTGAGTTCTGAGATATTTCTGGTAATAACCTCGGTGCTCTATATTAGTTTTTGGTTTTCTGTGTGTAGGGTGGAGAGTAAAGACAATTTCCTTCTATGCTGCCATTTTAAAATCAGACATCAATTTTTTTAAATTAAAAAACACAAATAAAATAGTTAACAAAAATAAAGCATTTATCCCGTGACTTACCAATGATGTCTTTCCTTATGGCCCTGGGCTCAAAGTCCATGGCATATAAATCAGACACAGTGACCATGCAGCCCTGCTTGCTCAGTTCAGCCACAGCCACATTCTTCAAGGATGCATTGAAAGACCTGGGTTCCTGGTGTGCATAGACAATGAGCACTTTCTTACCTAAATCAGGAAAAAGAATGGTTCCTTTTGAAGAGCAACTTCTTTTTGTCAAAATTCAATGAAGACTAAATTGAAAAGTAAATGTTCAGGTAAATATAATAGCAGTTGATATAATACCAGGCTGAAAATACCAGCCTTTCTAATGGGTATCAGTTTGAAAGTAATGGACATTTTTTCCCCCAGTTATATTACAGCTCAGCATTTGTTGGGTTTATTAACACAAAAAAATTAAATGGACCAAAGTATATCTCCTCAAAAATACCACCATTAAATCCTTAAAAGCCTGATCTAATTTTGGTATCCCCAATGAGAAGGTTTAGGTCTGCTCCCTGACATCATGCTAAAGAGATGCTGGAATTATTCTTCTAAGCTAACCCACATGAGCAGGTGTCTGTTCCTAGCATAGTTCTGCTTCCATCTTATCTGAGGCCATCAAAATCTGACACTTAAACTAAACATGAAGAATCTGACTTGCAGGTCTCATGGGGAAGGAAGGGCTATAAGTAGCCCGTCTTTCAGTGGTGACACTGATGACAAAGAGGACTTTAGGAAGAATCAAGTCTTACAGGTAGCAGCTGTATCATCCACACCAAGAGACTCTGAACCAGAATTTCCCTCATTCAGAAGAGTCAGTAAGATTACGCACTGATTTCTCCTGGAGGGAGCCTGGTGATTTACTTAATTAAATTTAGGCCAGGCACAGTGGCTCAGTCTGCAATCCCAGCACTTTGGGAGGCCAAAGCAAGAGGATTGCCTGAGCCCGGGGGGTTCGAGATCAGCCTGGGAAACTTGGTGGGGCCTCATCTCTACAGTAAATCACAAAAATTAGCCAGGCATTGTGGTGTGAGTCTGTAGTTCTAATTACTGGGAAGACTAAGGCGGAAGGATTGCCTGAGTCCAGGAGGTCGAGGCTGCAGTGGATGTGAGTGTGGGTGACAGAGTGAGACTCCAACTCAAAAAAAAAAAAAAATTACTCTGGTACCATCCAAGAGGATGTTAAAATTTAAATTTTTCATACTAGGATTAGAGAAGAAAATACAAATGTTATTTTGAAGCAAAGAGTTTCAGGGTATTCAGCTGAGTTTAAAGGTTGAATTCCAGTTAGATTAATGATTAACTTTTTTTTTTTTTTTTCTCAGACTCCTATGTCTAAATTCTATCCTACCGCAACTCTACTCGGGGGCTTACCAGGAGAACAAATATAAATAGAATACTTACACTAATGGTTCTCAACTGGGGACAGTGCCTGCCAAGAGACATTTTTCAATGCCTGGAGATATTTTTGGTTGTTACAATTAGTGAGAGAAGTGGTGCTACTGGCATCTGGTGGGTGGAGGCTAGGGGTGATGTGAAACATCCTACAATGCACAGAACAGCCCCCCATCAGAGGATTATTTGGCCCAAAATGTCAGTAATGCCAAGGTCGAAAAAAATCATGTGTGTTTGTGCATGTGGGGGGAGGCAGGCAGGGGGAGAGGGGAGAGAAAGGCCAGGGGAGGGAGGCAGTCACAAAAGTAAAGGTGAACTTGTGCTGAATTTTTAACCCAGGTTCCTCCTGGGGCTCATTCACTCAGCACGATTTTTTGAGCACCAGCTGTGTCCCAGGGATGACTTTGGGGCCCAGAGGCAAAGGACAAAATAGGCATGGACGGACATGTTAACCATTAGTGTAACTTATGAATTCAATCTTTACCCTCGGCTGAATGCCTTCAGTGCGAAGGCCTGAAAGGACAGGACAGGACCCACTTTGGAGAAACTTACATTCTGGAGTGAAGACAATTTGCTGGAAGGGGTCAAAATGAACAATAAATCAAGTGAGAAAATGAGATAATTCCAGATAGCAATCCATGTGTGGTTTTTTTTAAAAAAAGGTTTTATACACGTCCATGTTCTGTGGAATTTTTCTAATGGTGTATTCAATTTCTGATTAAAAGTCTACCTTCCCATGACGAATTGTTACCTGCCACGTTGCAAGAAGATGGATTCATTCTCTCCAACTTGGTGGGTGCCCTGGGCTTTCAGGTGTATTCACTACCTTTAGTGACCTCAACAATCTGGAAGAAAAACAAGGGGGAGGTGAGATTGGATGTACTACCTGCTTTCTGACAGACATGCAGATGCATCAGAAAAGAGGCCTCTCAAGAGAAATAAGAAATTCCCTGGAGACTTAGGCCTCAGAAGACAAACCATGCAGGATATTGATACCTTTTAATTTTAATTTTAATTTTTATCTTTTCAGAGGACTAAGAAACTTCCCTGAAGGTAGCCATAGAGAAGACAACCTGGGAAATGAAGCGTGGTAGGGAGTAGGATTTGTGCCTCCTTGGCCTTTCTGCATTCTCCAAGTTTCCCCCCTCAGATAATAAATGTAGTTGAGCAGATGAAGGTTAATGCCACAGCACCACTGACTGCATGGACTTTTCAGCAGGAGCTGTGGGAACCAAGGGGATAGTGCTGGTACTGCTGAGCCTTTTTCTCACCTGAAAACAAGGGGAGTTGATTTAGACCTGGGTTCCAACCAGAAATTCCTGTAGGGAGGCAGCGTAGGCCAGCAGAGCTCTCGGTATCACATAAACTTGGTGCAGATTCCAGCTCTACCATCTGTAACTGTGGGCCCTGCAGGATCTTCCTTCACCTCTCTGTGCCCCAGCTGCCTCGTCAACAAAGTCACAACATTGGACCAGATGAGTCAGAGAGATGGTTTGTATTGTGGAGGCTGGCACATAACGCACCTTTGGGAAAATGTTAGTTCTCCCCATGGGACCTCAAAGGCACAAAGAAGGTCTGTGTCCTTATCCCCCAGCAGCTATTTCTGAAATAATTGGCTTCATTCTGGGAGTGACAAGTTTCCTCCAACAAACTCACTCTCCCTACCAAAAGAACAAAAAACCTAGCTCAGATAACACTCAACAACAAAAAAGGCAAATACCCCCCAAAAAGCAAATACCCCAACTCGAAAATGGGCAAAGGACTTGAATAGACATTTCGCCAAGGAAGATGTGTGAATGGCCAGCAAGCACATGAAAAGATGCTCAATATCACTAGTCGTTAGAGACATGCAAATCACAACTACCATGAGATACTACTTCACATACATTAGAATGACTACTATAAAAAAAACAGAAAATAACGTGTTGCTGAGGATGTGGATAAATTGAAAAGCCTTATGCACCATTGGTGGAAATGTAAAATGGTGCTGCTGTGGAAAATAATGTGGCAGCTTCTCAAAAGATTAAACATAGGATTATCAGATAATCTAGCAATTCAACTTCTGGGAATTAACTCCAAAGAATTAAAAGCAGGGTCTTGAAAAACCATTTATCCACAATGTGAATAGCAGCATTACTCACAACAGCTAAAATGTAGAAGCAACCACAGAGTCCATCAATAGATGAATGGATAAGTAAAATATGGTATATCCATACAATGGAATATTATGTAGCCTTAAAAAGAAAACTCTGACACATGCTACAACATGGATGAACCTTGAGTATGTTATGCATAGTGAAACAAACCAGTCACAAAAGTACAAATATTTTATGACTCCAATTGTATGAGGTACCTATAGTTGTCAGATTCATAGAGAACCATAGGAAGTAGAATGATGGTTTTTAGAAACTGGAGGTGGGCTGGCAAAAGGGGAGATAGTGTTTATTTTTTAAATAATTTAATATTATTATATTTTAGAGACAGGGCATTGCTATGTTGCCCAGACTGGTTTTGAATTTTCGGCTGCAAGAGATCCTCCAACCTCAGACTCCTGAGTAACTAGGATTACAGTTACAAGTCACTGTTAATGTTTAGTCAGTACAGAGTTTCAGTTTCACAAGATGAACAGTGGTGATGATTGCACAACAATAAGAACGTACTGAACACTTAAAAATGGCTAAGATAGCTGGGCACAGTAGTATGTGCCTGTAATCGCAGCTACTCAGAATGCTGAGGTGGGTGAACTGCTGGAGGCTAGAAGTTCAAGATTAGCCTGGACAACATAGTGAGACCCTGTATTGAAAACAAAAATGGTTACGAGTACATTTTATGTTGGGTGCATTTTATCACAATAAAAAAAAATTGGAAAAAAACAAGTAACTCAGAGCATGTGACTTGGGGCTAGTGTGGAGACACTGCAGGATGCATGTTGTGACTAAATGACACTTTTACCATGCCAGTGTATCTCTACAGGAGAACAAAAGAACAGAGACACAAAGCTGAGTTTATCCCTACCATGGCTGGAACCTGGAGCAGAACCTGATGAGCATCTTTCAGGGCAGCTCCTACCTCCAGCTGTAAAAAGCACCACGCAGAGTTGAGGGCTGCAGAGTGCTGCCCAGAAGTGAGGAGGGTGCACAGAGGTGGGCCCCCACCCAGGCTGGGTGCTCTGTGCACAGAAAGGAAAAGAGGCTTCCACCTTTGAGGCTAGAGCTGAGTTGGGGGCAGGCATGGGACATAGAGTAGGGAGCTGTCACCACCAAGAGAAGGCATAAGGCTCTGACCACTTCATCTCCAGGCCCTCCCTGAGAGCCCTATCCACAGCAGTCATAGTTTATCCCTTGCTAGAAACCGTGTACTCACCCAGGCCTACAGCAGAAAAGAGCCCGTGACTACGATACGATACATATCACATCAAAAGGGCTGATATTTTTGACTTATACCTTATTTAATCTTAATCAGCATCCAGAAACTATTTCACGATGTTTTCACTTTATTATTTCCTGTGTCTCTTTCCAGGCAGACAGGACCATGCTGGGCCTTCTAACAAACACTTCACCATGTAGCACACCTTTTCCTGCACGACTTTTCTTTCCCACTTCACTATTTCTGGGTACTTAGGTAACTTCCCTCTTTCCCCCCCAGAATTATCACCAGCATGGCTAGAAGTGTGCATTCAATACATGCTCCTGTTCACGTATTCCCATGGCTGAAATTCTCAGAGACCAAAGGTTAAAGAAGCTGATTCTTTTCATATTGCCACAATGTCCTCGACAACGGCAGCCAAACCCAGAGCTGCTTTAGGGCAGCCCTAGCCGGCACACTGGCCTAAACGGTGGCAGCCCCTTTACAAACTGTTCCCTCAGGCTCCCTGATTTCTATTTGGGTTTTTTTGTTTGTTTGTTTGGGTTTTTTTGAGTTGGAGTCTCACTCTATGGCCCGGACTGGAGTGCAGTGGCCGCTCCCTGCCACCACTGCAGCCTCGACCTGCTGGGCTCCGGCGATCCTTCCGCCTCAGCCTTCCGAGTAGCCGGAATTACAGGCATGCGTTACCACGCCCGGCTGATTTTTTGATTTACTGTAGAGATGAGGTCTCGCTGCCCAGGCGGGTCTCGAACCCGCAGGCTCAGGCAATCCACTCACCTCAGCCTCCCAAAGGGGCGGGATTACAGGCTGAGCCACCAAGCCCGGCTTCTGATTTCTATTCGTAACATGACGATGGTCCCAGCACCTACTTCACAGAGTTGAGGGCAGAATCAATGAGACGATTCGTGTAGGCACTTCCACCTGGGCCCAGCACACAAGAGCCCTCGGTGGGACGTCAGTGGGATCCTAGTATCAGAATGGTGCGTGACCCAGGCCCGAACACCCACGAGGTCCACGTGCCCACAGTCTGGCTGCAAAGTTAAAATGACAGTGACCTCTGTCCCTTCCAAAGACCTGGAATTCCGGCCGGAGTCACTCACTCTCCAGCCAGCTCACGCTCCCGGCGGACCAGCTGTTGGCATCCACGCCCGGTTCCGCCGCGCCAGGCCGAGAACTCACAACACCTGGCCGGGGGACCCGCCGCAGCCGCGCCCTGTGGACCCTGGGCTGGCGCAGACCGGAGCTGGAGGGCGTCGGCGCCCTCGCCAGGGCCTCTAGGCCTCTTTCAGCGTCGCGTCGGCACCACGCCCCGCCCACTCCAGGCCCCGCCCCGGCCCCGCCTCGCCCTGACTCCGCCCTGCTCTGTGGCTCTCCCACAACCAGGCTCCGCCTCTACACAGCGTTTTTTGCCGTCCCGCCCTATCGTAGCCCCGCCCACACCGGGGCCTCTCCTCCAGCGCTCCGCCCCCACTGTATCCCAGTCCAGGCCCGCCTGCACGTGACCTTCCGCCCCGCCCACACCCCCACCTCTGGGGGGCTGACGCTCCGCCCACGCCCCGCCCCAGACGGCCGCCCTGGGATTAATCCTTCCGCTCGCGTTGAGGCAAGATCCCGGTTGGTGTCAAGGAGGTTGAAGCTTGACCAACAGGTACTGGACAGCAAGCGTGCTGTGCTGGGAGAAGGCTCACCCCCGCCTCACTTCGTGCACCTTCCCCAAATCCCTGGCAGGTATCCGGGTTACAAAATGAGGATTATTTTACCGGGCTCGGTGGCTCAGCCTGTCATCCCGCGCCTTTGGGAGGCTGAGGTGAGTGGATGGCCCGAGCCCGCGGGTTCGAGACCCGCCTGGGCAGCGAGACCCCATCTCTACAATCAATCAAAAAATCGGCCGGGCGTGGTGGCGCATGCCTGTAATTCCGGCTACTCAGAAGGCTGAGGTGGAAGGATCGCCGGAGCCCAGCAGGTGGAGGCTGCGGTGGCCGGGAGCGGCCACTGCACTCCAGTCTGGGCGACAGAGTGAGACTCCAACTCAAAAAAAAACAACAACAACAACAAAATGAGGATTAATGGTGTACCTCTTAGCAATAAAAAGAATGAGCTGTTGATAACCCCAACAGCCTGCTGGGATCGCCCAGGGAGGGGATTTTTTTTTTTTTTTTTTTTAACCGAGGGGGGAAAAAAATCAATCTCAAAAGATTATGTACCGTGTAGTTCCATTTCTCCCAAGGACAGATGATAAAAGTGAAGGGCAGATTCGTGAAGTCCGGGGATTTGGGGAGGGAAGTGCAGCTCAGGGGATCCTTGTGAAGGAAATGTTCAGTATCTGACCTTATCAATGTCAATATCCTGGTTGGGATATTGTCAGGTAGTTTTGAGAGATGTTACCATTGGAGGAATGGGATAGGGGTACATGGCTCAAAAGAAGTTCAATAAAAAGAAATGGTTTTAAGGCTGAGGACATCTCCTAGAAGTGGGAAGT